GAATGCAAACTTACCTATGGGAATAGATATTTCCTTTCATTGAAACTGATTATAAACCAGCCAGGAAATAACTGAATTGGCAGAACTGTAGGTGTAGCAGCATTTAGATGGACGACAGAACAGGGTAAGTCAGAAGTGACTAATACTAATAACCCTTTACTCTGGATGAGCTTCAGCCATGCCAGATCCACAGGCAGGTTTGATTAGAATTTGTCCATCAGTTTCATATCCCACAAATCACTCTGTTCTTCAACACTCAAACCAAAATAAGTCATAGAAACACCTTTGACTAAATATTTTGTTCCACATACTAAAGAGCTAATAGCTGACATGCTTAAAGTAAGTTCACACAAATGAACCTGGCCACTGGTAAGCTGCATCTTTTTTACATGTAAACAGAAGTCTGATGAGAAATAAATGCATACTTAAAAAATAGTGATAAGCACATGAAGTGTCTGCCTTATTATCTTTCATCTAAGGCCTATTTTTAAATGGAAATATGGGCTTGACTTGGTCCATCAGCAACTAAATTGACAAAAATAATAGTTTTCAGCAGGCATCAGTCTTCTTCCTGCTTTAGAGCTGAAGCATAATTGGGATACTAGCAGAAAAATAATTGTTCCCTACATTCCGCACTAGTCCCAAAAAAGTGAAGTTGTTCATGCAAAAAGTAAGAGCTACGGCTTAAGAAATCTAACATACTATATGTGTAACGGCAGAAAGTATATTCATGATAAAATTGTATAATACAATGTCGGAATTACTATACTCAGTCATTTTAAACTGGTCTACAAACAGAACATTATTTCACTATGGTATATTCTCTACGGTTTGAACATTTTACAGCATGAGTTGAGATGTGCATGAGAACTGGAAGCCATTCAAAAGAAAAGTGTAAAGTGAGGTGTGTTTATCCTTACAATCACTAGTAAATTACTATCTCAAAATCACCCACTAGGTTTACATTAATTTTGCCTACTTATTGGACATATCATGAAGTTATGCTGCTTTCTGCCTTGAATTCCTTTGTGGAATAACTTGCATAGTTGAAAGTATGATACTATATAATGTCAGTGATCCCAGAACTTAGCCCACACTAGATATGGATTTTGGTCTTCCAGGCTGAACAGCAGGAGGTAAGAGATGCAGAAGGATGGCAAAAAAGGAGGACAGACTGGAGAGCACAGGACAGCAGGTTTAAGCTATTAGTGCAACATTAGTTATGTTTGAGCTTCCATTCAGTTGACGCTTCTGCTCATACACTACACTGCAAAAGTAAGGTTAAGCTACAGATATGCAGATTTAATGGGGTAGTATGCAGAAAAGCATCATATGGCTGACACTGAAGGTTCTTAAGTTCTCTTAAGAAAAACTGTGCCCGGAATGTGTTTTATTGCTTGTAGATCTTCACTAAACATGTTGCACATTTTTTTCATTAGTAACATTAAAATCAAAGGATTGATTTGTCAGCCAACTTCCCAGCCAGGACTTTCTTCTCCCCTGATCCCTGCAGGTCACTGACAACATACTAGGTATTGGAAGCAGAACCTTGTCAACAGAATGTCCCTTAGGAAAATGAGTGAGACGCTAATTAAAAAGTGCAAGGAGCACCAACCCACACAGCCTACCTGGATAAGAGAACAGAGATGTCAGCTGGCTGAACGACCACAAAAACAAAACAATATTTCAGACAGGACCATGTTGTTATTAAAACTATATAACCAAAACTCAGGACAGTAAGATGTGCAAAGGAAGCAATGTTTTAAAGCCTGTCTTCCCATGGCATACATACTTCCCCAGTTCAGTCCTACTACAAGGAGAAAACCAGAGAACAGAGATCTAAGTAGTCCTTTGCCTAGTGGGTTAGCAAGCAATAGCTGTATTGCAAACAAAGTACACAGTACTTTTTTCTACCCATGCATCAAACTCCAAGTTAAAACAAACACTATTAATCTGAGATTTAGATTTTATGACACATGGTGCTATCTGACCTTGGAGGTGGGCCGTAAGTCTCTGGTTAATGCACAAGTCTCTGCTGCCATCAGCTCAAACACTGATTATCAAAAATAATTTAAAAACACACAATATGCAGATATCCAACAGATTATTATTTTTTCCTAATGTTCTGGGATTTTCTTAATGCAGGCTTTCAAAGAAAAACATTAACAGATTCAGCAAGACAAACAAGTCTCCTTAATTAACAAATTTCCATTTTGGTAATACCTTGATCTCCAATATATGTAAATATTTTTATTCAGGCTGCTAATCACAAGGCTTAACAGCCTTGAGCTTGTTTTATGCCCTAAAACATAACTTCAAGAAGTTTACTGGTACCCTTGACTGATTAATTTCTCAGGGATTTATTTATTTATTATTATTGCAAGCTAAATTGTTAAGTCTCACATGCTGAAGTAATTTCTCATAAAGTCATCTGAAGCTGCTTCTTGAAAATGACTTTTTTTATATATATCTTGGGTCCTATTATCTGCACTCACTGCTCAGTTTTACCAGTCCAGATTTTTGATCCTTGAAGTATTCCCAAATCTAAATTTCTGAGATTAAACAACATGGCATTAAGGACCATAATGATCTGTTTTGCTTGGGTTGGTTTGCTGTGGAGGAGGGAAGAGAAGAAAGAAGATTCAACTGTGTTTTCAGGTATCCTCTGACCACTGGTACCAGAGTATGCTCAAATCTCTTCCCAGCATGAACTAAAACTACTTCAACTAATTGCTGGTTCCATTACTTACGTAATTTCATTACCCCTTGATTGTTTACTTGGCAGTATGTACTATCAAAGAAACACCAAGTCAAATGTAACGCTTTTAAGCTTAAAATTTAGGAAGTTGCTCAAAATACAATTCAGTATTACTGTCCTCCAGATGACACACTCAAAACCAGATGACTACAATTAAGTGTACATCATACAACAGCTAACATGACAAACAAAATAACAGGTTAGATTATTTTCTGAGAAAATATAATTAAGGTGACACAAGAATCTCATCTGACTATTGATTCCATGGTGCTATTTTGTCAGTCTCGATCTATGTGACATAATTTGTGTCATAAGTATACGTTAACATGTCCCCTCCCCTCCCTGCGCCCCAACAGCAAAACAACTTTTTATGGACTTGAGCAGTTGCCAGCTACTTCTGCTTCTAACACTAAAACTGTTATAGCCCAGAATTACCTCTAACCTAGTCCAGACGAGCTAACTTGTGTCCTGAAAGTACCATACAGGCATTAGTGTGCCTGTTAATGAAGCACCAGCTTGGCTGTGTTGCAACCTTTAGTAATGAATGAAGGAAGCCTATGCGCTACCCTGTGTTTGCTTCCCGTGGTTCATCATAATTATCTCAGTCAGATATAGATAAGCATTTAATTCAATTATGTCTCATCCATTTTCTCCAGTCTTGAACAGGAAAACAGAGACATTTGTCTATCCTTCTCTCACTGGAGGGAAAAGAACAACCAAGAGTAAAATCAGTGAACAATGCTGACCTTAAATGACCTCTTACTACACTCTTCTGGGCCGAGAGAGCATTGTGCATTGCCATATACAGGTGTAGTTAGACCACGCTTATTTTTTCCACCCTCACTAGTTTATTCAGTCACAGGCAATGCTGTACCAGTAACCTCAACCCTCCCAAATTTTAAAGTAAACCAGGAATTACCAGGTAAGCAGCAGCCATGACGTACTGAACCATAATAGAGGAAACACCAATCTTACCTTCACAAACTGGGCAGCACTCCCCAGGGACTTTAACGGGATTTAGACAGCTCTGCCCGCAGGCCGTTGCAACGCAGTGCGGGTCTCCGTTGATGCACTGGCAGAAAGTACAGTCGTCCTCTCGCCAGCGGTCTCCATGAGCCTGGATCTGACCGTTGGCATAGCAGCCAGCAGGGTTATTTACTGGGTAAACTGGGTCTGAAATGAGAGGAATTGCGAGAGAACAGTTAGTTTTATCTTCCCTTTTATGCCTAAACTTTATATATGAATAACATATATACCGTGATTTCACATTACTTTGAAAGGGTTAAGTGCAGCCACTATCAAAGCTTAAAAGAACCACACTGTGGTATACAGTGATAAAAGACGACAGGTAACAATGTAGGTATTTCAATACTGAAATCTACTGCTGAAAAAGTTATGTCAACTTCTACTGAACATTCATAAATTCAGATATTTATAACTATTTCACCTCAAATTTTGTATGCAACAAGCAGATCTAGAATGGAAAATGGATCTACAAATGGCTGAGTCATGTATTTTAACAGGCTTAATTTTTGGATTTGCTGATTTTATTCTTCAAAACAAAATTGATCTTAGCTCTATTGATACATTTTTTGTACCAACTTAACAAGTCTGAGGGGAACTGAAAACACCTCACTGAACCGCCGGAAAAACTCCTGTCAGCATCGCACCACACTTTTATAGATGAGACCTCTGGCACATTTCCTGCTGGAACAAGGAGTCTTCCTCAGGCTACATCTCATCACAGATTTGGAGATGTACTAGTTTTCCTGCACAGATTAGCTAGCTCAGTTTTCAATTTCATTTTTCAGTTGGAGCTTTTCACCGTTAAAAGCTACAGGGCCCATTTACCTGTTAGCCATCAAATTAAGACCGGGGTATTTACATAACAGAGGTTTGGGGGATATACTTTACGTAAGATTTCTCATCATGTTTCACGACAATAAATAATGTGACTCTGTATATGCTAACTGTGAAGATTCACAGTGAAACTGCGCACAACTTCCACCTCTACCTGGCATTCACTCCCATCCTGAGTTTTAGTGATAGTCCCAGTTTTAGCAAAATGGGTTAAGCCAACACAAAACACAGGTGTTTGGGAAGACACTTAAAAATTAAGATGTTTCCTGATCTCTTAACTTAACACCTTTCTTGTTTTAGGATTACCTTGCATCTGCAATTAACTATTTTGACCTAGCCCAAAATCAAATCATACACAAACAAATGAAGTGAATTTTATCATTCAACTCAGGTATGGGATTCTGACTGACAGAGGAATACAGAGAAAGCACAGAAAAGCCATATAAGACTTGTGTTATTTGCAATAGTCTTTTATGTCAGTCAAAGCACAAAGTTCCTGGTACTCTTGAAAGGTCAGTAGTATTTAAAGCTATAAATTGAGTCCAGCAAATTACATTTCCTAATGCTGGGGAATCCTACAGGACTTTGAGAAAAAATTCTTCCTGGAGCTAAGGCAAGAAGGGCTTGTGCCTGTACTGAACAATGCACAGGAAATCTACCATTTGCCATTTAAAATTATTGCAGAAAAGAAGAACGCATTATATTTCTTTATATTTCTATCATCAAGAAAACATTAGTAGGAAAAAATTAATCACCTTGAAAATCAGTCATAAAATAATCAAACAGAAAGAGAACAGGTACAAAAAAAAATGCCACCTCTTCACCAACTGGAAAAGCGTGAATGGGTGGACTGCTGCACATACATTCTGCCCGTTTAAAAGACTTACCTTACCAATTTAGGCATCACCTAACATAACATGAGTTATTCAGAAAGACAATCAGAGCTTTCTTTTTTCTTTTTAAAGGAACCAGGAAAATAAACAACATATATCTTATTATCCAATCATCCAGAAGTGAGAAATCAGACTTCCTTGATCATAGAATCATAGACTAGTTCGGGTTGTAAGAGACCTTTAGAAGTCACCTCGTCCAACCCCCCTGCAATGAGCAGGGACATCTGCAATTGGATCGGGCTGCTCAGAGCCCCGACCACCCTGACCTTGAATGTCTCCAGGGATGGGACATCTACCACCTCTCTGGGCAACTGGTGCCAGTGGTTCACCATCCTCATTGTGAAACATTTCTTCCTTACGTCTAGTCTAAATCTACCCTCTTTTAATTTAAAACCATTACCCCTTGTCCTATCGCTACAGGCCCTGTAAAAAGTTTGTCTCCATCTTTCCATATAAGCCCCCTTTAAGTACTGAAAGGCCATAATAAGGTCTCCCCGGACCCTTCCCTTCTCCAGGCTGAACAACTCCAACTCTCTCAGCCTTTCTTCACAGGAGAGGTGTTCCAGCCCTCTGACCATTTTCGTGGCTCTCCTCTGGACCTGTTCCAACAGGTCCATGTCTTTCCTGTGCTGAGGGCTCCAGGGCTGGACGCAGGACCCCCGGTGGGGTCTCACCAGAGCGGAATAGACGGGCAGAATCCCCTCCCTCGACCTGCTGGCTTGATTTAGTGCTACAAGCCCTATCAGAAAAGCATGCAACAGAAATAAGCAAGTCAAGCAGTGCTGGATGATTTGATAAAAGACTGTGTAAATTGGCATCTCAGCTGAGCAGAAATTAAACCACAGCCATTATGCGAAAAAGTAGATTGTACTCGATAATTAGAAGTCATTATCCATTTTATTCTATCTACTAAGGACCTGCCTTAAGAAGAAATTCCTACTGCAGGCCTAACAGATACCAACTCATCAAACCCAAAATGAAATGTTAACAGGTTTTCTTGATAGTCCGATTCAGAGGCTGCAAAAATGAAGAATCAACTTTTTACACTGTATGATGATATGGCAGAGCAATTTATTGATAAATCATAAGATAGTTGAGTATTTAAATCACCAAAGAGGATGACAGACATATCTAGAACTGTAAGTCCAATGTGGAAAATCAGCATCTACATCTCAGTATGACAGAGCTGATGATGCACTGTTTATGTATCTATACACATTGTCATAATGATTTCATAATGCCAATCTCAGAATATTCACGTAAGTAAAAAAGTAATAATTACAGGAAAAAACAACCAATTTCACATATTCTATGAAGTCAGCAGCGCATATAGCAATTTCTTCAGGAGTGGATCTGCACTTCCTCAGTAAGGGTTTCACCACATTAGACCTGCCTTCTCTAAATTTTTTCATTCTGTCATTAAATGATGCTATAACACTGAATCTTTTTTTCCCCCCACAGCTTGAAGGCTCTTAAAAGCATAGGCACAACTGTACCAGGAAAGACCAAGAAGTCCAGCATCCTGTCTCCAACTATAGTGAGCAATGAATATCTGGACCAGATCTTAAACACAGGGCAAACATGGACTGCTATCTCTTTAGAATATTTAAGCCTACAGCATTTGTGTTTCAACTTCTCAACATGTGAACACCATGTATCAACCTATCTGATATGAAATGATACACTAAAATATATAAAAATACAAATACTCTTTAAAGAATTACTTCCTACTTCTGAATTTACCCACTCTGATATTTCATTATCCAGATTCTGGGTTTTTTTTAAATCTCTGAAGAAGTTTGCAATAGTTTGTAACAAAACAAGCCACCAAAACACTATCTCTCACTAGATCCTGTGCTGACTGAGAAGGTAAAACTCTTATAGCTGCCTCTTTTAGACTAATTTTTACGAGGTTCTTTACTTCATAATTCTGTGTTTGAATGGAGCACAGCTAAAATGGACCATTTGGCTTATTTGCTCCTGCAAGGAACTAGAGGAACACTGAAATCAAGTACACTACGAAGTGTCTGAAAGTGATGTTAATAATCAGATTCCTCTCCTCTTAGGAAGAGATTTGAGGTTTCCAGCTTATTTTGCTTATTGGGAAGTCATTCCTACGTTCACCTTTAAACCCAGGCACCAGGAGCACTTCACAGGCCCTTGTCTATGTCGTGACCCGCACTGGGGCAAGACCCAAGTGCAGAGCACCAGCCCCACCTCCCTCTGCTGGAATCCTGGTTGCATTCTAGTGGAAGAGGTGTCAAATATTTTCTAGCGTAAGCAAGAGGGTCAACATGAAATTTCCCACAGAATCCTTTTCAGGAGGACTGCAGGCCCAGCAACCAGAGAAGGCGGCTGTCAAACAGGGCAAAGGAGGAAGAGAAAAACATCAAAGTCCGATTACTGCCCCAGTTCTTTGCCGTAACTGTAGAGGGGAGTCGGTGTATGCGTTGCTCTAGCCGAACAGAACACGGCTGGAAGAAGCAGCCTGCAAAGCAGTGGAAACGTGCCTTAGGGCCACCACTGCTGCGTTGTAGAAACCTGTCCAAATACCTGGTGCAGAAATCGGGAAAAGTTTCTTCTGTCCTTTGGGAAGAAGGCCCCCAAAAAAGTACTGCACACCTGACCGTGTCTGAGGAAGTTCTGGCGCAGGAGGGAAAGGAAACCCAAACAGCTCTATATAAAAAGGGCAGAGTGCCAACATCAGAGAAGCACTGCAAAAAACAAGATGGCACAGACACAGCAAAAATGTGAAAATAAACTGAATTAAGGAGGAATCTGCAAACTTTATGAGAACAAAATAAAGCGCTTGTTTGCTCATTTGCATTGAAAAGCAAATGAACAAAAGCAGCTGAATTAATAAGCAAACAGCATTAAAAAGATACTGTACCTTCACACACTGGGCAGCACTCTCCTTCTGGCACATAGTACCTGTCGCAGTGTAGCTCACCACACTGGGCAGAGAAACAGATAGAGACTCCACCTTGGCACCGACAGAAACGACAAGCATCCATTCGAAACATGTCTCCATCATAATATTCCATGCTGTTAAATATGCAAGTTGGCTTCACTTCTGAAAGAAGATTGAAAAAAAGTATTTTACACACATTGATAAATGGGAAATAGTTAAACTCATGTTGCTACTGACAAAAACGGATATAAAGAGGCAGCTGTTTTTTCTTGCATTTTTTAAACTCAAATACGTATTTTTAAAAACGGCGTACTTTATTGTTTGTTTCAACAATGGAAAAAAATAAAATGCTATTAAAAATTACTTTCAGAGCAATTATTTACAGTTAAAAGCCTCCATTTTAAAAATTAAAATACTGAAGGAAGGTTAAGGCACTGGTATTTCTTCATAGGTGTTACTTATTTCTCATTCTGGATGAGCCAAAAGCTACTTCAAATTTCAGCACACGAAGCAATAGATTTTTCTGTTGTAAGAGGAGAGTTTCTGATGTTTGTTAAGCGTAATCTTCCTTTCTGCAGGACTCTGTACACAGGTGGATAAATTGCACCAAAGCTGTCCAATCCATAGAGATATGCTTAAAATACCCCCCTAGAAATGTATTTTGTGACTGCATGATCTGTTATGCAGAACTGAATACTTCCCAGTTCAAGCAACCTGGAGCTGTACTAGTCAGTTCACATTTATACTCCCTACAGAAAATAACCTCAATTGTAATAAATATTTATGCAACCACTTCAGTGTTTCAGAAACACAAGATGACTATTTCTTGTATGCCTCCATCTACAGCAAAGCCCTAACGTATAATTAAATCCAAACTTCGTGGGAAACTAAAAGCCTCTGAAAATTCCTAAGTATTTTGGGAAGGACATTGCCTATTTACTTTTTTAGCATTAAAAAAAAAAAAAGATGCTAACTAAAACAATGAAACAGTTTGCAGATTTAACCACTTTTTTTTTTCTTTTCTTTTTATACCAGAGAGGTTTGGTTCCAGATTATGAAGCAGATGAACCTCCACCACCTACTGCCAGCAGAGCGTATCCTGTTCAACCAGCCTGACACACACACACCCCACCATGCAGCTCCACAGCTCCGGGCTGAATCGTTGTGACTCAAGACACCGTAGAAGAAATACTCCAAATTTTTGTTCAACTATAATACACCACATTAGTCATTAGGAAATCATGACTTCACATTTTCATCACTACATTACTCAATGACTTAAGCCTTCTCCCTCTTCCCCACTCTAAAATAAACTTTTTGGCCTTCTATGACACTAGCCCAAGATACCTGAAAACAGCTACCTGAAGTAAAAGAGTATCTAGTAAACAGATGTATTTTTTCAGAAGCTGCGAATCTAGCAGTCTTAAAAGCCAGAGGTTCTACAAACAGGAAGCTATTTATTTCAGCAATAAGGTCAAAATTAAAAACATTACCAAACTGTAGATGAAACCACATTTCATTACATCTAATCTAAATATAGCAAAGGAAAGAAAGGGAAATTGCCTGTGTTGCTGATTTCTGTAGAATACATGCAAAAGACTATCTACTTACTTACATGTGTAATGCCCAGCCACATAAGGTTGAAAACTGAAAACCACACTTTGTAGTCAGGTGATTTTTCTTTTTTGGTTAGTGCTTAATCTCACAGAGAGAAGATTCCTTTCCACCCACCCCAATCCTCTTACTCTGGGGCTAAAAATTTTTTATCTGAGTTACTCTTGACAATGAAACAGGTTTTCTTTAGAACTCTAAAGCATTTTGGGGACTCTAGTATTTCTTTCCTCATAGACTTACATTGAGCTCCAGCCTCGAGTCATTTAATATGATTGTAAAGCATTAGAGCTGAAACTTGGAAGTATCCTGAGCAATGTTTGATTTTTATATGCCTGTTCTGTCTTCAAGGCATAATGTAGAAAGCAGCATTTAAAAAAAAAAAAAAAAGTGAGAGGAGGAAATACCACTGTGTCCGGGAAAACAGCTATGACCTCATTAGAAAGCAATTCACATAAACAAACACTTGAGAAAAATTTCAAGTTTATGTAGCTCAAGCTGTTAGTCTAAAAACCTTCTCAAAAAGGAAAGAGTGCCAACACAACTCAAAAGGCCTTTAATCCATTTGCTTCGGACTTCACTGTTTTGATAACAGCTTTCCAGATTTTTACTGATTCCCTCCCCAAACAGTAGATCGGAATTCCTGCCTAGTTAGAAGTAGAAACATTGTTCTTCCATGAATTACCATTCATTTTTAAAATGTCTGAACAAGACCAAGCAAGGAACTCTAAATCCTAAAAGGAAACAGTATGTTTCATTCCTACAATGAAAACCACCACAGAATTTCACTGTATGTGTATTTTAACTGTCCAGATTTATGGTAGGTAGTGTGTACATTCATACTAAACTACTGACCTAAGCCTATACATCCATCTACCACACAAGGATTACTTGTGTTAAAACCATATGTAAGACAGCAGTCTTAAGACTCGGTCAAGCCAAAACAAGCACTAAATGAAGAATTCTAGCTTCAGATACTTACGAAGTGGGAGCTTAATGAAAGAGTGAGCACCACGCTGTGGAACTCTAACGATGCATGTCTTCCACCAAGATATGCTGAAAGATTGTCTCAGTTCTCTCTCTTTTTTTTTTTTTAAATTGCTAGATTTATTGCCTTACTGATCTATGTATGGCAGCCACAAAGGAGTGAAAGAACATAAAAATAACATTAAATAAATGCGTCTTTTTTTAAAGGCCAGTAACCAGGAATCCACTGTTCTGCCAATAAAGAGAATACTATAGGTAGAATTCTTCAGGTACCAAAACTTTGCTGCGTGACAAAGTACTTTAAATTGACTGACCTTCACAGCACAAAGCGCTTGAACGTATCCGAAACCCCAAATCCTTTGCTGATGCAGACTACCACAACGCAACAGTGGGCACGAGAGACACCCAAGCCATGGATTCATGAACTTGAATTCAGTGTCTGCCAGCTATCAGATAACCCAGTAACACAAGACTGACCCACCTGTGAAAGGAGCTACCACAGAGCAGACGGGACCCAGAGCAATACTTAGTTTATACTGGCTGGGGAAGGACAGAGGACATCACATCTCTGCTCCTATATAAAAGTTAAGCATGACTAAGAGACTGGACTTGATTCTTGATTTGGCATTAAAGTTCCTGCCACAGAGTTAAATGAGAAATAGTTCTGGCACAAATTTAGGTCTACAGATCTCACAGCCTTTTTGTTCTGGGAGCGAGAGCGCTAAAAGTCAGCGTTGCAGCAAAACACACAGCCTCACACTACACAGACGCAACCTGTGCTTATTTCTTAAGACCTTTATCTCCAATCTGAACTGCAAACAGGCACAATCTGTTTTCTCAAATCAGTTTTCTAAGGTATTTTACCTCATACTTTTAAATCTAATTAAACACTGTTCTATTGGCTGAACTAGCCCAAAATAAAACTTCTGTTATTGAGATTTCTGTAGTTTCCCAATACTTGTGGTTTTCTTTGATTAGCGTCACGGAACAGCTCAGAACCACGTGCAAGTTTGTGAATCCATCCCTTGCGAGGCAGCCATTCTGCACACGGTTACGCCGAGCGCATGAGATGCTTCAGGCATCAGCTGTCTGTAGGCAAGCTTGGGCATTTTCTTTTGTAGTATCAGAAATTCCAGCCCTCCTGAAGCGGAAACGAGATTCAAAACAATTTTCTGTTGTTTAAAGGATTAAAAGGTCTGTGATTCCAGCACTTCCGACGTTTCTTCGGCGTACAGAAGGATTTGTACCAGACTCTTGGAAGGAACTGGGGCAAGTGCTGTGAACTTTCAATTAAATTAAAGGGAAGGAAACTCATAAACTTGAATCCTCTGTCTCTAATAAACAAAATACAGAAAAGCTTTCTGTTTTTAAAAAAACCGTGCTGATAAGGAGTTTCAAAAGGAGGAGACATTTCTTTGGAACTGTCTTCATGGCCCATAACCACGTTAGAGGACAACACACTGTATGCTTTTGTTTCCTTGCAAAAATATAAAAACAAGCTAGGTAGTAAAAAAATATTTGAGTTCTTACTCTTCAGGCTGTCCTGTTTAGTGCAGTGTATACCCTATTAACACAACTGCAGGACCATTAATAATCAGATTTTTACAGTAAGGTTTCTAGCAGAGAAAGTCCGTATCATCACATTAGAAACACTTTTACATCCAGTTGCCACAATCTCTGTATAGTGCTGACTTTCAACAACAGTCTTAAAATTTTCTGTCCACCTCAATAGCAGATCCCAATCCAGTAACCTTCAGGCAGCTTCAGAAGACAGCTCTTTTATAGGTTGATATGTGTCTTTTTTTTTTTTTTTACACACGGTAGACAAGACTGTGAGGTGTTCCCCATAAAGACAGAAGACTTATCACTGTATTGGGTGGAGATTGCATCATGGAAAAGAGCAGGGAAAGACGCCCCAACCGAATCAGCTCTACCCGACACATTCCCAGCTTAATCTTTTCTTTAAAGCCTCTGGTAATGGAGAAACTGCAACCTGCCTATTAAACAATTCCACAGTTTTAACTACTGTTTCCAAGATCAAATCACAGCAAGGGTAATACAAGTTAGACAGAAATGGCAAACAAACAAAAAGGAGATTTCCCAAGTTTCATTACTTTTCCCATCTTTGAGGTATATGAAAAAATAGTCCTACTGTTTTTTACCTTCCTCCAATGTGCAAATTTGTTACTAAGAGGACTCATCCTGGGTGTCCCTGCCTCCATCCTCTCTTAGAGATAAAATGCACGCATTTCTTTCAGTTTTATTTTTTCTTTATCAGGTCATGCTTTTCAGTGTTTGTTTCTATGGGTTCCCTCTAGGCTATCCCCCCTTTGTCTGTACCTCCTTCCAGAAATTCAGCAGTGCCACTTTTTAACATCCTGCAGTAGGTTACAGCCCTACCACAGAAAACCACCAGGAAAGCCAAAGGAGGAGCTGGGGCCACCGTGGGCCATGGCTGGGCTCTAAAACCCCCAATCAGTGACAGATTTTCTAGATAAAAATTGCCAAGCAGTTCTTGGAAGCGAGCCGTGTTCTGCACAGCAGAGGAGTGCGTTAAATCCCAG